TCATCTTTCTTGCCGCAATTCGTTTTTGGTTTTTTATTGACGGTAAAGGTTCAAAAGCTGGTCCAATTTTCCTTTGACTTTATTACTCGGAGCTCCTCGACAATGATGACCCTAAATATAAATTTGGAGGAGGGGCTTCCGAAGGGGTGTTAGCGAAGTCACTGTTAGTTGGCAATCCAAGAGACGTGTCAACCGTGTCAACCTGGACGGAGGATTTAACAGCCCTCATGTAGTGCTATAGTCCGGCATTCCCTAAATGAAGACTTATAAATAACAATGAGGCACTACCAGTGGGCTTACCCTAAATGAAAATACGAGGGCAGAGAGGTCATGATGCTGCTAACACGTTAAGCATTTCCGCTGGAAAATTAATTTTTGCTTAATTTACATTTTGTACCATAGAGCAGACCTCTATTACTCATTATAAATGATTTACCTTTCGTCAGCAAATGAAACACATTTTGTAAAAAGATCAGTTGGAATTTTTGGCTGATGTGCCTCCCACTCTTCCTTTAACTAATTGGGAGTTTAATTACTTCCATTTTGTGACAGACAACCAGTTTTGGAACAGCTTCCACAAAACTGCGTACCGTAGTTTCTCCAACTCCTGGTTTTAGGTCTGGCTTATGTTTAACCAACACTGCAGTCTGCCCTGCTTCGTGCGCTGTTCTTAAAAATGACTTACGTTGCGCGCTCAGCCTAGAACACTGCGAACATGTCGGAACAGAATTATGACAACGGCTGCTGCCACAGAAGTAAGGTTTGACCGCATGAACAGCTTAAGTTTGGGTTCATTCTCTCCTCATAAGATGTTTTGCGAATTGACCTTTTTGTTGCAGTTTCAGGCAGCTCGTTTTATTAATTCCAAACGTTTTGAATGTCAGCAAAATTGGCAACTTAAGAACTCTCTCGCATCACCACTGAAGAAATTTAAATTTTATTTACGAAACTTTGTCTATTTTTGAAATTAGAGCAAAAATAGAGAAACCCGTAGTGGTTTAGCGCAAAGGCAGTAAATTTGCTGTGGCTTGAAAAGTTATGTTGACTGTGTTTCTCCCTGACATTAAATCGAACACCTGGTTCTTAAAGCATAGCAGTACCTTAACTCCGAAATTTGGTTCATTGGATCTTAACAGTGAGAAGAACGAGTAACCTTTCGACAAATGGAACGTTCTAACGCCGCCGGTTTGAGAATTGTCATGTCATGCATTATTTCTTTTAAAAAATATATAAATATATGATACGTTTTGACAATGAGTGGGTGCGTTGTTGAACAGTATTCAACGGTTTTTAGGGGGGGAGAGGTGCTTCCATTTCGAATTTAAGTAATACTCCGCCATACAAAAAGCCAGATGCTTACCAGCACAAATTAAAAAAGCCTAAGCACTATATCAGTCATATTTGAATAATTATATCGCAAGTTTTTGATTCGCCGTAGCACATTTTAATACAGTTTTTGAGGTAAACGGTTTTTTTAGATAATGTATATATGAACATCTCGTTTGACTTTTTCTGTAAACGGTCGAGTAAATATAGTCGAAGCGTATCGAAGATCATTCATTTGATCGTCCCTTTCTTCAATAAAATTTTTGAAATGTGCATGCGGTGTACTGTATCGTCTGTAGTTTTAAGTTGTCCGGCTAAGTTTTCCTTCCTCTCCATCTTTGCAGAGGCGGGAGGGGGTAACTTCGTACTTATTTGTAACTTCGGTCCTCAAACTATTTGGTTTCTAAAATTGGCTTCAAAAATATTCATTTTTGGAAAAATAAATACTGTTTAAGGGATTAGAAGTTTTTTGTTTGATTCAAACGGCATGCATTTTTTAGTTGCTATACTAATACTGGAAAAAAGTAATTAGCTCGATACAACAAAATTATTCAGATTCAGCTGAGGAAGTATCTTTTGTTAGTATTTTGGTTGGCACCTTTAACTGTGAAGAGAAGTCAGTGATCGACAATTTCTTGGATTTTACGCTTTGTTGTACGGTATTCTAGGGGATGACTGATAAAAATATCCTTTACGCATCCACCGGCTGCTCTTTTCCTGTTTTCTCCCAGGAACTGTAGAGTTTTATGAAGTTATGTCTGTTAAATTTGAAGAAACTTTGGGAATTTCAAACAAAAAAATGTATTGACAGAGAAGTCCTGTTTTGGATTACACTGGTTAATCTAACTGCTTAGGTAACACTGTAACAATTCGACTGGAAGACGTAAACCAAGTCTTCTTTTTTAAATTTAGCTTTGCATTCGGAAAGGCAACCTTTCTCCTGCATATCTAGTTATTTCGTTAGAGTCGCCGCACTATGCCTCACTGTCGGGCTGAATTTTCTGCTTTTTGGTTGGTTTAATTGCGAGAGTAGGCGATAAGCTTGATTGATGCGGTTCAAAACATCAGGTGGAGGAACATTTCTTTATTAACCAATTTTTTTTGCTAATTCAGTCAGTGAAGCAAAGAGAATGATTAAAAAAAAGAGTATTTTGTGAATGCTTTAACACACTTTTGGTAGACCTTGTTTTCTGTGATACTTAAAAGTTCAAAGGAGTTACAGAGGCAAACATTGTTTTGATAACGTTAACTTTACTGTTTGGCGAAAAGGGATAGTTGTTATCAGAGTTAAATCTGATGAACATCATGAACAACAAGTTTGTAAATGAAGACTGATAACTTTTCAGCTCATGGTCGGAACAGCTTTTTAAATGAAGCTTAGGCAATAACAATAGAAAGGAAGCATCAGAACCGAGAGTAGAGGAAGAGAACGTCACAACAACTATAACTATTGGAAATCAATTCAAAACGCTGATAAAGTTGAATTTTTGTATCAAATGACAGCTGCAGCCGCATTCTTTTTCATTAAACACTGAGAACTTTCAACAGATTTACTAGTAGCTTCAATTGATATAGCTCCTTGTAACCCCAAAGTGCGGAGTCTAGTTGTAATTAATCTACTTTAAATGTGCATGCTCATACTAAACTGTGGGGCAAGAAGAAGGTGAATTTTCCAATTTAAGAGAAAAATTAACGATGGAATTGTTGAAGAGAAGAACAGGGATGGCAACTTTTCTTTCCTAAAATATTAAAAAAATTGCTCGAAACAGGTAACTAAAGCGCCTGTTTGGTATAGAACAATAATATTAGAGCTACTATCTTGGCACTTACCATAACGTAACTGAGAAAGGAGAAAAGTGATTACTCGTTCTCTTTAGTTGTTCATCCATTTTACTCAAACAGCTTCCAAAACTGCCACGAAAGAAACAAGAAATCTGAAGGGTCTAATAACATGGAATAGTAATCGAACGGTGCTAGAGAGAACCAATCGGCAGCTTAACAGTAGAACAATACTGGAAGAGGAAACACGCTGTGAGTTTGAACTCGGCTTGAAGCGTAAGCTTTGCTCATTCCTTAACAAGATACATTTACTGTAAATGAGCAGGACGAATCGCAAGTGCCCGGTTCCGAGTGCAGTCATTTGAAGAAGTTGCCACAAGCCTACAACCACGGTTTTAATGAATAACCACAAAGTTTACCGAGCTTTACCATATACTTTGAGTTTCGTAGACGACAACTACCACTCCATCTCCCTCCCTCAATCTTAAAGTAGTTCTGTCCAAATAAATTTTTGCATTCAGAACTTTGCTTCTCAAGTTGAGATCTTTTGGCTGTCTTCACCCAACTATGTACTGCGCGTTCTAAAGAATTTTTATTATTAAGCAAGAAGATGTGGTGGGGAGGGCTTCAATAATTTCTCTAAAGCGCAGAATGTGGCCAGAAAACTAAACGCGCAAAAATTGAATTACCTCCTCGAATTTAAAGGATCAACTCCAATTACTGTTGGAAGGGTAAACTGTGGAACATTAAAAAGCTATAGGTAAGTCAGAACTTCAGTGGGAATGCTGACTTGGAAACTTTCAATGACCTAGCTTATTTCCTCATCGATGCAAGACCCAACTGCAGTACTCTACGTTGGCTTCGCTTTTGGGACTGAGTGACAGCCGTCATAGATAAGTGAACGAGATCAGAAATGTGCACTCTTCTAAAATCTGTTTTGCAGATTTCGTCGTGGGTTTTTTCCATTGCATGTCAGATGCCATTAAATGGGTCTAAACTGCCTCTGTGTGCAAGAGGAAACAAGAATTAATTTTTGGTAGGACTTCCACTTTAGACGTTAATTCAATCGTCATTACACTACAAAGAAGTTGAAAGGAAGATGACTACGATAAGGAGATATTTAAGACGAGAACGAACAAAAATAGAAGAGCTGATCAAAAATCTGTAGATTAACTGACTTCATAGTTTTCGTTTGTTTAACAGACTCGGATTGGGAATCGCAATCGAAACGCTTTTGCAAACATCAGTTCTTAATAACCTCAGAAACTACGGAAATTTTGCTGATCTCATCTCTTCCTTTTAGCTCGGGCAGTATTCGTCTGTTTCCCATAAACTTATGGAGTAAATAACGATTTATCAGGGTGTAGATAACTGATGACAAAAATAATGCGCCAATAACAGCGTGACATCCACTGTAGATCATATACTGCAATAAATTTTGGTCTGATATGTGAAAGAATGGAAGATTAGGACTCTATTATAAGAAAATTTTTCTAAGCATACGATAATCTGATTTCTTTTCGGAGAAACTTGGCGAAGAGCAAAAGGCAAGTTTTGTCTGGTTTTTGCTTTCTCGTCTTGCAGAAACTGTTCTTTCAATTTCAATTTGTCATCCTCATTTTAACTCAAAATTTTATCATCGCTTTCTGCCAGACCTAAAACCCTCTGAGTTCCCTGAACTTTAGATGACTTCTCAATACAATTAGAGCTTCTACTTCTCCCTTTAAGAAATACAGGTAAATAGTCATCCTTTTAATCCCAAAGTATTTTTTTCCTTGAAAGAAAGAGGTTTTGTTAGATCGTGTCAGATTAACTTCATTTTCACTCTCAAATAATAAAAAAAAAACAAACTAATTCATAAAATATGATCTTAATAGAAGTTGATTAAATATTTGTTAAAAAAGTACTTGTTGCCTTGGAGGTAAGCTTAAGCCGCGCTTGTCACTGACAATTACTGTTAAAATCGTTTGTAAAACAAGTGCCAAAAACGAGTTGAGACCAAATACAAGACCGTATGATTCGCCTACCATCTTCTGCGCTAAGTTATATCTGAAATAAGAATTTATGGATGTGAAAAAGTAATTGCAAGAATTTGACCAATAAAACTTACTGGGCTATAGTTATCATAACCTGAAATAGGCTACGATAGCCAATGTAACAGCCATACATGACGTATATCGATTCGGTTTGTGCGTTGATGAGCAAACAAGAAGCATCGATAATAGAAATAAGCACAAGTGTTATCTCACCCCATCTGTCCCAGTCGATGCGGATCAAGCTCATGACCAAAATGGCTGTCGCTGCTATAATGAGTAGAATGCTTTAACTGTAGTAGTTTAGTAAATCAGACGACAATGTTACTGTTTTTAATATAATTTTTTAAAGTTTTTCAACATTTTTTTCACTTTGATTCCTCTTTCTTGTCATTACCTCTTTACGCTTGAGATCGGTCTGTCGTGTTTTTTTACAGTCATTTTAGCGGTTTATTTTGAGCGAAAATCGACTAACAGTGTTATTGCTTATTTAAATGACGTCACTTCTGTCATCAGTAACTTTTGTATAATTTTAAAGAATGCATTGCTCGTTTATGACTAGCACCCATTCGCAGCAGAAGTTTTTTTTCTCAGAATTTTTTTCTGTAGCTTTTATCAAGTTTGGCTTTTTTTTCTATCTTTTTAACTTTTCCTTTGCTTTTCTCTTCCAATTTTTAGTTTTAAGTATTGTTTTTTTTATTAATTTAAAGAACAGTTGAGGAAAGATGGTTAGCAGGAAGTATTATTTCTTAGAACCCCCCGTAACTCTGATTGGATAGGTATTGCTGATAGGCATAACTTCTAATTTGGTCTATAATATCTGAACATTTCCGCGTTAATGCGGCATGTTTCAAGAGCATGCTTGAAGACAAATGCGAAATGAATACTGAGGGGATAGAATGGAGATGAAGCGGAATAGTCTTGTTTACCTGTAGCTGTGTATGCTGCCTCAGCAAACCCATTGAAGGGATTATAAGCACCGTGTTGCACTTCGCCCCAGATCGCTTGAGCATATTGACTAACCTAAAAAACTAAAATAACATTTCGTAAGTGCTTCAAGTTTTTCTTCTTAAGAAAGCGATTCCAGTGCTGAAAACCGATCTAGGGCATTAAGAAGATTACAGAAGTAAAAAGTCTCACATACCGTTAAAAAGAAACAGAAATTTACTTAGTTCTCTTCAAAACACTTGTTGTCTTATAAATCGCTGTTAAGTTGTAGAACTTATCTTTTCAACGAAGTTTTTTCAGAAAGTTTCTCTGTTACTTCCGAAGGCTGATGTAAGGGAATATGTTGAATGGTCTTTTTTGGTACCTTGCATCTGTTAGTAACATGGAAATCCTTGACTTTCTAAGTCTTCTTTGTTTTTATCTTCTGTAGCTACAAGCATTTTAATTTCATCTCAGTAGGTCATTCTGTACATTACAGGGTGCCAATTCTTAGTTGTTTCAATAATTTCGTCTCTTCATGAGCGGAAATTTTACTGCCACTTTTTCAAATGCCATTCCTCTTTTACTAAAATAAATCCGGTGTGCCGTAACTGCTTGAAAAAGATAGAAAATTACTCCAAGTGTCTCTGTTTAACAATGCTTGCTCAGTTGTCTTCTTCATGAGAAGATAAAATATCCAGCAAACTGTGACTTCAACAATGTCAAATTCACTTTTTAAAACGATATTAGCATTTTAAGAACAATAAAAAAATTTTTTTTTGCTATTTTCTAATAATCTTTTTTGGGAAACGTTTTTCGATAATTCTTATTAATTTTTACCGCGATGGGCAGCTCTCGTTGTTCATCTAAGTACAGTGTCTACTAATCTTATCAAATTACTTCTTAGCTACCTCAATGGTGCACTGTTTTGTAATGATGGTCATTTACTTTTTGAAGAACTTTTACAAATATATGTACTTTACCAGTTTGCAAGATCTTCAATTACTCACTTCTCTCTTCGTTGAAAAAAATAGAAAGCTTATTTACTACCGTATTTTTACACCCTTAGTCATAGTTTTTGAGACCTTAGCACACTTTTTTTTCTGGCCCATTTGAAACCGCACTCGACTAACCTGGAGTAAGCCACACAGTTTTTCATGCTGTTACGTTCTAATCACTTTCAGTTACACTTACTACTAATCTTTCACTTGTTCTTGTAGAGTCTATCCAGTAACAAGCAGCAGTTTGATTTTTTTTTTTCTGCGTGTTCATTGTTAAACAGGCGACCAATAACATCGTGGTTTACAGCAGACATAAGTAGCGTTCGTCTCTCCCCACTTAATTCTGTAATCAAAGAAACTGACATCTTCTCAGTTCAGGTCTACAGGGCATAAAAGGCGCTGTTGTTGCTGTCATTATTATTGTTGTTACCAATATTATTACTCTTTATCACTCTCAACACCTCTGTAAAGTGAAACTTTTGCTCAACGGCTTTCTTGGGACGGAAGTGAACGGTATTTAGAAAATGTCTAAAGGTAAACTTCTTAAAAAAGCACACAGAATGGCATTCATCATCAAAGCATTAATGGTTGAAGCCTATTCTTCGTGGTGGAGGTGTCGTATTTCCTCATTAGCAACTGTAACATTTGCTGAAAGCTAAAACTACTGAAAAATTACTCTTTGAGCTTGTCTATTGAGATTTCATTTGCAGAATGAGAGAGTTGACCAGTATTAGAGCAAAAAATCACCTTAAAAGCGTTTCCAAATAATTTTTTTAAAGTCATATCATCATCACTACCTGTTTCGGTCGCTTTCAGAGGAAAAACAAAACAACTTACATTTAAAGCACAGGATTTAATTAGTTGGCTATGAATATAGTATTGAGAAAATTTGCATAGAAGAGCACAAGTTCAAGCAAAATATTAGACGGTTCCAAAGAACTGCTGAATTGAAAACAAAAGTTTTTCAAAATATAATGATTTTTTTAAAAGTCACTTTTTTCCAGAATCTGTTTGACATAGATCGAATTTGAAAAGGGGTCTTAAAAAGACTAGCAGCTATAATGTTTCATTTTCAGACCACTGAACTCATTTGTCGTCGTCTCGAAGAGTAAAACTAGCTGTTTCATCTTTTAATTTTTTGATTAAATTGAGCACAGCTTTACTATTCAGCAGTAACCCATTAGTAATTTGAACCAAAAATAAAAGCTTATTAAAGCGTTTACAGTAAACTTTTTGCTCTATTTCGTATTCTACTCAAGTTTTGTATGAGTTCGCCGTTCCAGAAGTGTTCGCCTATATCGGAAAAGTATCCAGAAATTTTATTGACGCGCTTCTTCCATGGCCAGTAATTTTTCATTTATTTTTCAAAATTTTCTTGGTTTTTAGTTTGTTAAAAATTTTCCCTCTCTTTTAAGCTTATGGTAGAGAGACCTGTTAAGTAATTAGCATAAATTTCAATTATTGAATACAAATATTTTTTCTGAACGTAACAAATTATTGGTTTTTCTGATAAGAGCCTTTCACAGCTACTTCAAAGAAAATAACGAAAAGTTCACTCATATTTTTGATACTGTCTAGAGGCACTTTCTAAGTTGGATCAAAAGTGATGTAACAATTCTGTTCAAAAAACTAGAAATTGTAGCTTTCAGTTTTTCTGATTTTTTGTCTTGAAAAATTTGAAATACTTATCTTTTTTTTCTGCTTCTATTACTGCAGCATATAGGTGAACTGGTAAACACACTTCAGAAGGTGAAAAAAGAAGGTCAGAAACCTGTTACCTGCAATGACATGCATGTAGTCAAAGCCCACCATAGTGACCATTTACGAATGTGCCCGATTTTGTAAATTTTTATAACTTCAGACGTCATTTTGTACAGTCGACCTTTCAAGTAAGCAGAGTACGTTGTTGGGATGGTGCAGCTTTCTGTCATTTGGCCTTGTGTACTTCCTGCAACTGTTCTGAGAAGTTAAAGTAGATAGTAGAAGACGTTGTCTTGAACCATTAAATATCTTATAACATACGGAACACTTTTGATAATTCTGTACACAACAGATTTGGAAAAAGTGATTTCTCTTTGCTGTATACAGACTGCAGAAAAAGAAGAGCCTGCAAAAGCATACGTGGCTCTCCACTTCCATTTACTTCAGATAGCCTTTTAGCCATCTTTTTCCAGCGCACACGGGGTAGGAACAGAGAGATTAGAAAAACAACACATGGGAAAACTAAGGCTATACGAATCAAAGTCACGTAATCTCCGATCCTAGTCAAAATAATTGTTTGACACATAAAGTAACCAAACGTTCTTCCCCCCATAGTTGCTGCCCTTGTCCAGCTCGTTAACCTGAATTATGCTTGTAGAGCATTTATAAAGTCAAAAATAACAGCAACAATGAGGGATTTGAAAGCAATGACTTTAGTACAGCTGCAAAATTACTTTCTGTGCTGATCTTTTTCTAAGCGAGCGTAGATATATGCAAAAAATCCAATTTCGCTAGAAGTTGCCAGAGCGTAGGTAATTTGTCCAATTTGCTGTGAGAAGACGCTTACGCCAAAATTCAAAGTGCTCCTGAAACATTTCTTTTTTGACAGTTAAATTTTTGTTTACTTCAGTTGTAATTATCTATATTTGTACTATGTGGCAATAGGTAGCCACTCTTTCAATGTTTCTTTTTCTTTATTATTTTCAATACTATCTTGTCTAGTATTTAAGGACTATCTTTTGATAATGACTTCTAAAAGTGAAGGGCTGCAGTAGCGTTTCGAACTTGTATTACATACATAAATTATTCGCAAGTGGTTTTCGTCCAGAATCATATTCTTAAATATCTTGCTCCCTTATAATTAGATTTTTCAGTGGCATTATCTCAAGCTTTAGTTTGTTAAATTTATTAATTTTAATTTATGCAATAATGATGATGTCAATATTAATTTTAAAAAGATTAAAAGTTATAGAACAAAAGATAGGTACTGTATAACAGTTACTGGGTCTGTCTCAACCTGAAGCTATCGATTCAGAGGATTATTGTTCAGGAGTTATCAAAATTAAAAGAAAGTCAACTGTTAAACAAACTTATAATGAGACAGAGTTAAACGGTGATTTATTTTTTACAGGATGCGCAGAAAAAAATATTGTAAAAAAAGATTATTCTGGAATTTTAAGATACCATTTAAGAATTCTGGTCACCAGTGATTTTGTGACGAATTCCAGCAGGTTACAAATTAAATGTTCGTGACTAAATCTAGTGCCATTTGCAGGCAGAAATCAATGCTTATCCTTAAAAAATTGAAAAATATTACAACCTAAGTGTTAAACTAAAGTTTTTAAAAGTCGTCAATTTGATTTACAAATGTTTAATTGTAAAATGATTATTATTTTAAACTGTGGCTTGCTATAATCCTAGATATACTGAACCACTGGTAATAGGATTTTATAAAAAGTATTTGCTTTTTAATGTGAAAGTTATAAAAAGAAGAATAACCGTAGTGAATATTCTAAAAAAATTCTAGATTAAAACTTTTGATTACTATTGTTGTTTGTTTATTGCTATTAGATTTAGGAGTTTTATTGATAAAAGTTTCTTGATTTTTTTTAGATCGTTTTTATTCTACATTATTTAAGTAATTGGACTACTATGTTAGAGGAGTTCACTTAGTTTTTATTCGAGCGAGATAGCTACCTTTTGAATGAAGTTAGTGTATATTAAAAAACTTCTTGAATCGGTGTCTCTCAGAATTGTTTATCGGTATTTATCTTATATATTCATCGCAGTTCAATTCTTGGCACCTTATAAGTAAAAGATTTAAATTGATTGAAGATTCGTTTATAAAAAAGTCACTTTTTCTTTTGTAACAATCGATGGCAAACATTCTTCTTTGGTTTTGCTTTAATTGTTTATGAATATTTTTGGGAAGTTACCTTGCATAGAAGATGAAGCCGTAATATTGTCAAATAGTTTTTATATGCCTGTTATTAAAACTTCACAGCTTGGTGACTGTTTTTAAATTACAAAAAGTGACTAATAATCCCAGTTTGCGCGAACGGGAAAAATGCTATGAAAACATACTGTCTGTGGAATGACAACCTGCAGAAGTTCTTGTAAGTGCTATAAAACTAAGATTCTAACACGCTTATACAGAATCGATGTAGTGTTTTTCTACAGTGTTATACAGTAGCAAAAAGCTTATCAGAAAACTTGAGAAGTTTAGCCGCAGTTTATTAAGACAGTTCTAAAACCTTTTAAAACTCAAATTAGTTACGTTAGAAGATTTATGATAAGTCTGTTAAAAAGTCTGTTATTACATTTACCTATCTCACTCTTATTCAACACGTTTATTTTCATTAGATCTTGAATTTCACAAATAGCAAGTCTTTTTTTGTAGAACTCATTTAGCTATTTATTTGATTTTTTCTGTTAATTTGAGGTTAAAACTCGGAAAAATCTTTCTAGATTGTATATAGGGTTAAGATAACACTTAAATGGTCTTAACTTTTTATTTTCAGATATTTAACTGAATTTCAAATTGAAATCTTAATAATTTTTTCTCTTTATCTCATTTGCATTATTTCTGTTCACACCATAAGGAGTAGGCCTTTTTATGTTTAAGTATACAAACGAACAAACATTGGGTTTTTTTTTGTCTTTTTTGGAAAGATTGAAATAGGCAGAAGGTGTGCAACTAAAATAACAAACCGGAAGACAATTTGGCCGATCATCTCAACGATCATTGTCGGTTTGTACAAAAGCAGATCAGTTAACAGAAAGATTGGAATTGAAAAAACCAGATATGAGTAGGTGAAGTAGGGGTATACCTGAAAATGTAAATTACATTTAAGACAAGCAATAAGCCTAGTTTTTTTATTGAAATAATTAAGATTGAGTTAGAATAGAATGCTAAACCAATTAAAATATGAAAGCTCTGTCTCTTTTTATTTATTCATGACAATGACTGCAGCAAGCTGTAGAGCTTATGTTCAGCTGCTGTCCTTTATTCACGCTTTATTCACATTTGGTTACTTAAATTTTTTCTGTATAGATAACAGCAATGAATGCAAAAACTTTTGAATATGAAAAAAAACTGAAAATTTGTCTAGAGAAAAAATAGAAAATTTTACTGCTAAAGCAAACTTGTGTTATTAAGCTTTTGTTATTTAGAACAATTTTTCCTTTTTAATATAAATAAAAGCTATAAATTACTGCCTATTATGCCATTATTTTTTTAGTGACATTTTTACTGCGTCATAAAGATAAGTGATAACAGGAATTTTGCTGTACTAAAACTTTCTGGGAAAACTGTTGCTAGAATGTTTTAACGCTTCGTGGTTACTTATTATTTTCAAACATCTTTTGTAGAAGAATAAATATAGCTTTAGATTTTCTCTTTATCTCCTACTGAATAAAAAATTTTCCTATTATTTAGCTTAAGTTATTTGATAAAAAGGTTTGAGTAGATTAATATGTGCTTGCAAAGACGTCTACCTCTTTGAAACTTCTTTGTAAAAGCAAAAATAAATCTGTAATTAAGTAATAAAGCTTGTTATAATGAGAGGAAATTATTATTCAAGATTTACCTCGCCATTCAATTGCGCATTCTCAATATTTAACACTTCGGTTTGATACTTAAATATAAAAGGCTCGGCAACTTTGATCTCTTTAATAAATGCATAAAAGCACAGTAGAATAGTCAAATATGACCAAGTCATTTCTGATATCGAGAACGAAAAATTGGTTCAGTCGTAAATTGCACAAAATTTCAGCTTTTGTCAGTCTAAAAATGAATGAAACGGGAAAATTTCACACCAAAACTGTGCGCCGTCCAATGCAGTAATTTCACTGCAGTTAAATTGCCTTTGACTTCTTAAAAAGAACTTTTCTTTGCCGGAGGTCCCAATACGCTTTGCTGGCACTAAAAATTTAATAAATACTCTTCAAGAATTCTTAGTCGAAAAACAGGTAATAACGTACAAAAAATTCAGATCTGCAGCAAAAATGTAACGTTTAATGAAACATGTAAAAAACCTTTACGTCTTGTAAAATAACTGAGAACCGTTTCCAAAAAATAATAAAAAAATTAGAATAGCAATTTTGTGAGGTTACAAACAACATCCTGAGAACACCGAAATTTGGTCAGTGATTTCATTCTGTGAATACACTTAAAATATTCAGTATTAAAAAACGATATCTGTCATAAAAGTAACCCTTCACCAGATTTTTGTTAGAGTTACACATTTAACTGTTTTCTTTCAAGTTTTAAAATCAAACTTTTTGGTTGGGCGTTTTTTAAATGTTTCTTTTAAAAAAAGCTTATTTAATTATTTTGAAATGTTGACTGGACAATTAAAGCAATAAAACTTTTGTTTTGCTTTTTTTCAGTGATAAATTCAATTTCATTCTCTTTACTGTGCGCTTTATCACTATACCAGACAAATTTATTATAAAATTAACAAATTAAGAAAAATATACATTTAAGAAATTTTGAGTAGTGTAAATTGCATCATAGAAGTAGCAAACAAAAAAAAATCTTTCAATAACATCAGCAAAAAGAATATTCAAGTATTTCTCTAACAGTATGAAATCAGGAAAAAGAGCATATTCAACAAACCAGTTTCTCCAGTACTAGATAAAATCTCTGGAAACGAGAATAACATCGCATATGGTGTCCTAAGTGAAACTAAAAATTTATCTCAGTATTTTTACAATAAACATTTCTTGAATTTAACAGTTTTGCAGAAAGGCGATTGTACCAGTGAAACTATCAATGCAACCTTAAGCAGTTGATACAATTAATATTTTGAACTAATAAAGCATTTTAAAAAAGAGAATGCAGTATGTCAACTGACTTTAAGAAAATCATATTTTTTCATTTTAATTGGTAATTGTTAAAGAAGATTAAACTTGATAATTTTTTTTGTTTTAAACACTTGTATTCTTTAGTTAAAACATATCGAAGAACTTTTTCAATGAAAATCAGCTAACTTTTCCTAACTTTATATCTGCCGAGCAAATTACAAATTCCACTAAAAGTACAAAGACAGAACTGTTATACTATTAGTCTATCAAAATCTGGTCACTGATATTCTTGCCTTGAAAGCGTACAGATAATTAATTAATCTTGAATTAGCTATACCGTAAAGTTGTTAATTACTTCTCAGACTAATAAATAAAATAGAGAAACGAATGATAATGCTGCTTTTGTCGATAAAAAAATAGTACTAAATAGAATTTCTTTTCTTACAACGAGCAATGCGCGTCTCTAAAAGTTTTTAAAAACATTTGACAAAGTCAGTCGTGAATTATATTAATAACAAAGTGACCCGTATTGCATCTCAAAGAGAAAGTGATCGTTGACGTCCGGTTTTTGTTTTGCTGTTGAAATCGATATAATGTCTTCAATTGATTCAGCAAATAAGTTTCTAAAGGTGAATT